TATATTACATGTATTAAAAATGTTCATACTATACTTTTAAAGTAACAAGAAATGCCTGCAGTAAAGTTATTATGTATTTTATAGTGTTATAAATGTTTTTTTTTGTTTTCAAATGTGGTTACAAATTTTAAACTAAGTATATTTGTCATATAATGCAGAATGTCTTTTTGACTTGTTTTTTGTTATGTATGACTTAGAAGTTGATTTTATTTCTGAATAATATTCATTTGTGAAACATTTCTGTCTTAAGTTAATTTTACAAAGGGAAAATTAGCATAAGACAGAAATTCTTTATGCTGCTTTCCACAAAGAAAAAGAAAAAGAAAAAAAAATAACAGGATATTGAAAACAATAAGTAATGTGGTTTGTTCTTTATATGGAAATTTGGAGAGAATAAAACCAGAAAACAACAATATGGTCATTGTTGTTGTAAAACAAGTTTGGAGATTAGAGAAATTGTTCAAGTTGAGCTGCATAAAAGAAACAAAAAAAAACTAAAATAGATTTTTTTTAAACATTATACAGAGTGTCCCTAAAGTCTGGACACATAGGAAATCTCATTAAATATATATATATATATATATATATATATATATATATTTTTTTACCTCCACAGATTAAACATGATTTTGTTGAAAGAAGAAAGAATTGACTGGGGTATGCTTAATGAGAATGTGTACTCAATGAAAATCACAGATGCAACACACTTGATTGAATGCAAAAAGAGTAAATATGCTAAAATTAATGGCAAGTTAGAGTTATTGCATCAAGTTCACATAAATCTTGCAAAGCACATCTTTTTCATCACAAATGATGGAAATTATATTGAATATGTTATTTGTTAATATTCCAATTCAATAAAATGTTGTTGAAAATTTCATTTCTTGAAAATGTGCTGGACACCCTGTATAGTACATGATAAATTAACTAATGACTGATATTTTGAGTTCAACCTAAATCAATATCAATTCATTTGTAGGTAAACTTTAAGCATCTTAGGGGATGGGAAACAGAGATCCAAATATGTATTGATAGTTACCTCCACGAGATTGCTAAAAAGAAAAAAGTATAGCATGATGAAAAAGAGGCCAAACTTGATGAAAACAAAATTTTATCATCTAAATGTTTATGTTATTATTAAGAGGAAAGATCAAAGTATTTTAGGAGTATTTTTTTACATTTTTTAATCATTCCTAGCATGGCCGAAATTTTTGTTAAAAATCTTGTTTTTTTTTTTTTGAGTTAGATGGCAACCATTGACAGATGGCAACCATTTTTTTCCATTTTAGAAAAAAAATGAAAATCGCAGTTTGAAATTCTTTTAAATATCAATTATCATTTTTTCAAAACCTATTTTAAGAAAATCAGAAATTATAATGTTTATTTAAAATATTTTGAACCAAGCTTAACTTAGCTTCTGCGCCGAAAAGATGTAATTTAAAAATAAAACAAAGCAGGTCATAAACTTTCGTATCACTTGACAGGTGATGAATGACATATTGACAGATTCTGTGAGGATAATTTGTTCTATGGAAGGAGAAAAGCGAAATTATTTACATTTAAGTGAACAAATTATTTACTTTGTTATTTTTAAGGAAAACTTTCAGCACTCTAATTTTTTTTTGTACTTAGCTTTCACCTTTACATTTACGATGCTTTATGGAAAATCTGTTATAAAGAAATTAAAATAAGACTGTTAAGAGTGAGATTAAATTTCATAAGAAAGGTATCTAATTAATGTATAGGTACCTTTCTTATGAAATTTTATCAGAAGTGTACATAAAATGCTATAATTTTATGTACATTTACTACATTTTACTGTGTTATTTGTATTTCAATTCATTTTATTATTAATTTTGATATTTCATTTATGGAAAAAAATGCCATAAGCACAAAATTACATTTCTTAATTACTGTGGGTCTTCTGATTAGTCAAAACGATACAATTTACAATGCGCTAAAAAAGATCTATCTCATAAGGACTGTTACAAAAGTGGATGTAGCTTTTAACTAATTTTATAATATTTTAACAACTTAAATGTAAAAATCTATTATAATTAAAAAACAACAAATAATTGTATTAAAAATTCATTTTTCATTGAAAAATTTTTTTGCTTTCAGAAAATATTGTCCATATTCATAAAAAGTAAATAAAAGCATTTGAAATTAAATAATATATTTGTTTTATTGAGTATTCTATGTTACAACTCAGAGATGATTTTCAGGTATGGGGGTCCAATTAAAAAAAACAAAAAAAAACATGATTTGCATTCCTCAAAGCCTTGTGCTTTTAACTATTGTAATTACTATAGTGGACTTGATCGAATTTCTAGCGTTTTCATAAAATTAGTTATGGGGGGGGTAATAAATATAAAAAAAAAATATTTCTGCCATGACTGTAATAAAAAAAACATATTTTGATCATCTGTGAATAGTTTCTGAAAGTTTCATTAACATTCAACAATTATTTTTATTGTTGCAAGATTTTCCAAATTAATGTGTGTCATACAAAAAAAAATGTGCTAAAAATTGTATGTTATTTTACTAGTTCCAGTGATACAAAGAGAAACAAGGATTTTTAAATGAAAATTCAGATTGTTCTCAAAAGAAGGAAAAATTTTTTAAAATAATTAAAATAAACTTTCATCTTTCCTCTTAATAATAACAAACATTTAGACGATAAAATTTTGTTTTCGTCAAGTTTGGCATCTTTTTCATTATGGTATGCTCTTTTTTTAGTGATCTTGTGGAGGTACCTGTGTATTGATCTAGTGAAAGAAGCATTCCAAAAGCTAAGCAAAGTGCTGAGAAACGGTAAAATTTTATTAGAAACAAAGAAAAGTGCTAGATTGCTAGCCATCCTTTTATATGGCAATAAATGTTGGTCAATCTCCTCCATGGATGAGATAAAAACTAGAGCCATCAGAAATGTAGTTCTACAGAAGGATACTGGAAATTCCATGAACAAAGCAAATAAGAAACAAGGGAGACTTAAAGAAAATGGCAACAGAAAGAACACTTCTTCTCTAAGGAAATGGCAGCTGAAATTTCTTGGATAGATAATGAAGGAGGGTTTGGAAAATTTAACCCTCAAAAAAGAAAGATAGGGGAAGGTAGCGAGCCACTTACCTGATGAGCTTGTGTGAATGGATGATGGAATGGGGTTGGGGCCTTAGCAAAGGGAAATAACTGTTAAGAGTCATAAGAGATAGGAAGTTGTGGAGAACCATAATCATATGTGTCTTGACATGTCAATTAGAAGAAACAGACCTGGAAGTCTGTCTATATTTCTGAGATGAGGTATTATGTACATTATTTACATTATTCAGACTATTGTCCTCATCTTTGTTGCCATATTTATCACAACGTTTCGGCCGTTGTATGCTCCGGCCTTCTTCAGGTGGTTGGAATGTCGAACTGAACTCTGATTTTTCTACTTCCCCTCCCATTCCTGGATGTTCTAATATCCCGAACAGAGCATGGGTTTAAGACATCTGTATACTGTAAACCGACATTCACTGGACAGTACTTCAATTTCAACTCCCACCATCCATACAACACCGAGCAAAAGTCATAAGTGGCAACCCAGAGACGTTAGATAAAGAATTGGTCAGTATAAGTAGTACCATACAATGTAACAAGTACCCTGGGTACATGGCAGCAGACCCCAAAAACTGGGATAGGCCGGTACAAGAGGAGGAGGACAACAACACTCAGAAAACAGTCTGCCTGCCTTATGTGAAGGGGTTTTCAGAGAAAATACAAAGGATCTGCAGTCCATATAACATCAGGACAACCTTCAAAAGCTTGACAATACTTGAATATCTCTCCCGTGAGACCCCCCCATAGTGGAGAACATGACTAAAAACTGTGTATAACAGCTATCCCGTGCAGCTGCGGAAAGGAATATAAAGGAGAGACAGGCACACCCCCCTCAAGGTAAGGCTTCAAGAAAACCAAATGCTGTAACATGAAGGGAAGTAGAAAAATCAGGCGTGGCTGACCACATATGGAGAAGAAGGGAGATCACAAGCCTCTATGGGATCATGTTGAGATCATAGACAAGGAACACCATTGGAAAATTCGTAAACTTAAGGAATCAGCACATATGCTAGGCTACAAAGGGAAATTAACAGGAGATAACTGATAAGTGACATCCATCAAACATAGCACATGGAACTAGAACAGTCTACCCCAGTGAGCGAAATAAAGGGTTCAGTTCGACATTCCAACCACCTGAAGAAGGCCGGAGCGTACAATGGCTGAAACGTTGTGATAAATATGGCGACAAAGATGAGGACAATAGACCTGGAAATGGTGAAAAAAGTGAAGGAACTCAGCTGACAATGCATAAAATTCTTATTCTTTTCAACTAGTACTCTTTTTGCAATCTTTAAACTTTAAAATAATTCCAAAGAAATTTATTGGCATTTTTAAATAAAAACAGAAAATAAAATTGAAGTAGATAGTTTCATATTGGTAGTAGTCTGTTGTATTCACTTATGTGCAAATGCCCTTGGGAAAGGTATGAATTCATCACTTCTCTCCCTATCTATGGGTTTAATAGCAAAATAGACTGTCTTATAACCTTGGTTGGCAACCAGTCTACCACAGAAAGAAATAGCAAGCTACTGTGGGAAAATCTTCTGCTTAGTCAGTCATGAATCAAAAGAGACATGATCACCCAAGCATGTATCATGCATGACACTTAACTGACTGAATAGTTTGTAGCAAACTTATCACGGAAACTTTTTGCTTACATGTTGAAACTTTTTATGCAGGAAAATGTTCTTTCAAATTGTGAAAGCAGGAAAAGATTAAGAATATCTATTCATCAAAGGCCTGGCTTTATGACTTGCTTCAAACCTGTAACATTTTGTCTTATTTAAACAGATTTTCACTGTTTGTTTTTTTCATTAATGAATCTAATATATGTAAAAAAAAAAAAAAAAAAGTAACAGTAAATACATTTTAAGCTTAACTATAATAAATTAAGCTTTTGGTCACATCATGTTGAAACACCAGTTCCCGTTTGTTCACTGAAGTTAAGCAACATTGAGTCTGGTCAGTACCTAGACAGATGACTGCTTAGGAATACAAGGTGCTGTAAGTTTGGATGTTGAGGTGGTGTAATGGATAGAGGCTCAGAATTGTTAATCAGAGAGCAGAGTTCTAATTTACATTAGGTTTGTTACATTCATTTACATACTAATACCCTTGGGAAAGGCATGAATCCACCTCTTCTCCCCATAGCTATGATCTAATTAGTAAGACTTGTATCACTAAACCATTATTAGCATTTATCTAAAAAAAAAAATTCTTACAGTCTAAAAAAATATCTTCTGACTTTAAATAACCTGCAAGGGGTTGATAAAACATAGAAAATGAATGAATCAATCAAAAAGACAATAATAAATTAATGCCAGTATTTACACAAGTGATCAGCATTTTTTTTATCCAAGAAAGAATCAATTTATAGTGCACAATATCTTTTTAAAACAATAAACTACTGGTTTAAAATAAACTTGTTTTTTCATTATGGAATAATTTTGGAAATTATTTAAAAAGTCTAAAACTGAGATTGGTTTCCCAATTCAACTGACAAAAGAGTAAAAAGGGATTGGTTCTAGTGAGTCAGTAACCCAAATCTAGATATGCTTTCAATGCTAATGGCAAATAAAGAAATATGAGATTTTAAAGAAATTAACCAGAATATATGAAAGAGACTGTGCCCACTCACCTAGTTCCTGAATTGTACTAAAACAGAGCTCTCCCACAAATGAAACAAGAAAAAAATCAGTTAAACTATTCCACTTTGCAGGGAAACAACATTCCTGACATCTTTATGTCTGGAGGTGAATATTATGCTAAAAATGATAGTAACTTTAATAAGATAGGTTCAATTCCAGAAGATAGTAGCCAAACTATTTTATATTACGTTATACCTAATTTTTATTTTAAATTTATTTCCTGACTTAAATAAATGAGAAATACTAATATTTCAATGGAAATACCATATAAAAAGATCATATAATTAAAAAAAAAATGATTTAATACCAAAATTAAACCGGAAAAATTAAATTATAGGTGCCTAATACAAAATAGGGTTTTAATAATTTTGGAGTGGGGATTTTTCTGAATATGCTATAAATGGTAGGGTTTTATTAAAAGGGAATCAGAAAATAATTTAAAGGGTCAAAAAATGCAAAATTAATAAACTCTGTGATCTTAATAAGCTGGAGGAGGGGAGATTTTCTCAAAAAAATAAACATCTTCCCACTTCTAATATCAGATGATTATAAGATTTTATTGTACTTTTTAGAAATTATTCAGTAATAAATAGAATAATAGAAAGGTTTTCTTTTTTTTTATTTTGTAGAAATATTTTTAGGACTGTCATTGAATTAAAATATACATGGACACACACAAACATACAAACACGCACAATTTGAATGAAATTGAAATGGACATTTTCAATCTGTCTGGCAACAAACCCTGGGTAACAGCAAAAGAGTATAAAGGAGTATTTATTTACTCCCTCTGTATTTAAACTGAATATATTTTTTGATAATTATAGTACTTTAAATGGACAAGCAATTTAGACTTGAAACGACAAGTTCAGAACTTGTGCAGAATAAAAGACAAATGACACCCAGTTTACTGGACTTGAATTATCTGAAATGAAAATAAAATACAAATGGTCAAGCAACAAGTTGATTAAACAAGCAACAGGGAGATTCATAATTTTATCTCATGTGCAGCTAGAGTAAAATTCATCTAAGTTGGTTTTACAAAATCTATGATATTCAAAATATAAATACTTTATTTTGTAACATAGAAGACGCACATTTTTTTTTCCCCAAAAAATCTGCTTTTCAAAAGCATTCTCCATGCTACATGGTAAGGGTCAGACTTGGGACTAAGCTTTTGGATCTATGAATCACCCTAATTTAATGATCCCTTTAGAAACTTTAGAATGAATATATTGTATATTACCAGTATTTTAACAGGGTTCTTCTTGTTCTTGTAATGGCATTCACCTGAGGTGGGTTGAGCCGGCTCCAATATTGGAGTTTCATGGGAATTTGGAATTCACAAGCGGTCCCCAACCCGCATGTATGGCACATGAGATTTGATTATGGTGGTGAAGGTTTTGTGCAGGACCATCCACACTTTTTGCAGGGCCGATTACAGAGACCTAGTGCACTATGTGCCACAAGGTCCCCAAACGACCCTCCACAGGTTTTGAATTCAGAGTTTTCCTTCTCCTAGACCAGTTGCCATCCAAGGCTATAGAACCCAGTCTGTCCTGCTATTTACCTATAGCTGGAGGGAGAAGAAGAGGATTCATACCTTTCCCAAGGGTATTAGCACGTGAGTGAATGTAATGGATTCGACTGGAATTCGAACTCGGCTCTCCGATTCCTCAATCCAAGTCGATATCCACCGTGCCTCCTCTTAAACTTTAAATTTTAACAGGGTACATATTATATACTTCAAAGTACAATAATGACTTCTTTAAAGCATTTAAAGAAATAGAACAGTTGTGAAGTAGAATAAACACAGGCAATCCAATTTGGAATACTTTGTACAAACTTGGCTTTCACTCTGCTAGTATAATTTAACTACATGAGAAAAAGCAGAAAATTGTGTCACTTAATCAGTAATTTTCCTGTATAGATGCAGTTCTGCAGACAAGACTATGCAGCTATGAATGGAATGCATACGTAAGTTGATATATTCAGAATGATTTGAATATATTCACTTCTTTAAAAATGTTTTTTTCTACTTGTCTGGTTAACTACAAAGAACTGATGCTTATGAAGAATATGTATTATATGACTCACATTATCCCAGGATCTAGTAGATTATCAGGGTACCATATTTCATGACCAGTTCCTATCTAATTAACATGTGGCAGGTTGTACTGTGTTACATGGTACCAGTGGCATTCATCTCTATCACAACATCAACTTCCTTAGTGTTATTAGGCTTATGGCCATATCACATTGAAACACCAGTCCCTGCACTATCAACAAAGTTAAGCAATGTTGAGCCTAGTCAGTACCTAGATGGGTGACTGCTTGGCAATACCAGATGCTGTAAGCTTAGATGTGCAGGTGGTGTAATGGATAATGGCACAGAATTATTAATTGGAGAGTCAAGTTTCAATTTGTTGGGTTCTTTATATTCCTTTATGCACAAATACCTTTGAAAAAGACATGAATCCACCACTTCTCCCCCCAGCTATGGATTAATTAGTATGACTTGTATCACTAAATCATTAATATCTTCAAAAAATATTCTTACAATCTAAAAATATTTTCTGGCTTTAAATAAACTGCAATGGAGTGATAAACCGTAAAGTGAGGTACTCAGTGGTAACTTCATCACCAAAGCTGTTGCCAAAGGCTTTTGACAAGGTGTGGCGCAGTGATTTGCTGCATAAATTCTCCAGCTATGACTTTTCTGGAAGAGTTTACAAAATCATTGTCCTTTCACTCAGGTAGGTCCATGAAGGGTGTTATGAATAACCAGACCTCCAAATTTGTGAGATCAATGCAGACACCTTCTAAGACTCTCTTCTCAGTCATACCCTCTTTCTGCTTTTTTATAAATGATCTACTAGGAACATTCTGCAGTCATGCAGCTGATCTCTCCTCTGATCTAGTTCTAACAGCTCAATGGGGAAAAAAACTGGTTTGTAAATTTCAATGCCTCAAAATCCAAGCTGATTTCATTGCATCATCACCAATCACACCCTGACTTTCCTCTAATGAATGCTTCCACTCTCAATGAGACTCAATGCTTTGAATATTTGTTGGTTTTCAAGTTCCCTCTAGACCTAAAGTGGAACTCATATAAATTATCCATTACTAACTCCTCCTGCCATACTTTAGCTTTACAAGAGTCACATTAAACCAAAAATGAAGTATTGCTACTATATCTGGGCTGGAGCTGCTCGATCTTCACCTTCCAGCCTTGTTAGGAAATCCAGTTTGGAATACTTAGTACAAACTTAGATTCCACTCTGCTAGAATAATTTAGCTAGATGGGAAAAAGCACAAAATTAGATCACCTAAACAGTAATATTCCTGCACAAATATAGTTCTGCAAAAAGATTATGCAAACATGGATGGAAAGCACGCATAAATTGAAATGTTTAAAATTATTTGAAGATATTCACTACTTTAAAAATATTTGGCAATCTTTAAACTTCATGCCTGCAAAAAATGGTGTGTCAAAAGAACAGATTTTCCCTTGACACCACTATTATTTTAACTACCTTCACTCTTCAGCAATATTTATTGTTTAAAAATCCATGATTAGAATTGTAATAAAATCAAAATATATAATAAAAATGAATTTATACATTTTTTCTTGGGAATTTATGAAAAATATTAAACACTATTTATTTATTAGAGTGTTTATTTACAAGAATAATTTTATATTTACAGCATGCAAAAAAACTAATACAATTATATTAAAACTAATGCAATGCAATATTTACCTACCATTTACCAATTTATGAAGTTCTAAATGGGAAATCAATTTTTTATTCATAAATTTATAAACATTTACTAAATTATTAAAATAAGTGAACCAACTATAAGGAAATCCTTATTATTTACCATTTTATAAAGTTTGAATCAATTGGCAATTAGGTGATGAAACCATTCTAATAAACAATCTAATAAATAGTGTTTATTATTTTTGTTCTAAATTTTGAAGAACAAAGAAAATGTATAAATTGATTTTCATATGCTTAGTTTTATTAAAATTCTAATCTTCATGTTTTAAAACAATGAATATTGCTGGGGAGTGAAAGTAGTTAAAATAATAGTGGTGTCAAGGGAAAACTGTCCTTTTGATACATGGCATTTCTTGGAGCAAAGCAGGCTACTTGGCAGTGACTGCCTCCTCTCCAATTAACATGTGACAAGTTGTATTGGATTACATGGTATTATTAGCAATGAGCAATTCCTGAACTAACATATTACGAAAAGTTTATTCATTTTTTATGTTAATAAGCAAGCAAAACTACCCCAGCCAGAATTTGAACTCAGCTAATTGAACTTTCCATCTTGTTAATTCTTATGCCTACTCTGC